ACATGACTTCCGCTGTCGTACCAGTATGTTAATGTGAGCACCATTAGCGAGTAAATTTCTGTCGAAATTAAAAATTTACTTTAAAATGCAAGCCTATAACCATGTAAAGTGATATTAACCTGTAGTTCATAGCAAATGTTAGGGAAGAAATAAACTTATCTATTATCGTTATGTGGACTACGTATTATTTTCAAAGAACAACGTTACAACACTGATGTCTGAAATGGGATTATTTTACTGAATGTTGATTAGACTCCAACTGCAAGATAACCTCACTGGATGATGTCTAACATATTGGAGTTAGTGAAATAATTTTAAAAATCAAGAAGAAAAAGACAGCATATTACAAGAATAAGACAGAAAATGAAAAGAAGATTAAGAAAGGGAGAGAAAACTAAAATAACGTGACAGGATATTAAAATAAGACCAAGAAGTACGAGAAATAAATTTAAGAAAGAATCAAAAAGAAGAAGGCGCACTGTTTACAGCACAATAAATTATAAATCTGATTGAAAACAAAATCAATAATGCTAGAAGTATAGAGATTTAAAGAGCAAGACTGAAGTACAGAGAAGTTGTAATGACAAAACTGAAGAAGTGCAGTAAAACAAAATCAGAGTAAAGAAAAACATCAATCAATAAGATAAAATGAGCGACAAAAACATTGGACAAAGGAATCATTAAATGAAGAGATTAAACCAGCTACTCCTTTTCCTGCATCTCCTCAACAGTTTCAATCTAAAATACCACCTAATACAAAATATGAAATAGGATAACTTATTTGGTTAACACCTATTACCACTACTACTGTGCCTTCTATTATTGCAGATCTTCTTGGATTTTTGTAGCCACCAAATCTTCTTCCAGAATTTAACTGGTCAATTTAACAACATTGCCCAATTGAAAAACCAGTGGACAATGATGGAAATATACCACGCGAGGCATATCAGGATCAGTTCGTGGTACTGAAACATCAACTCCAACTAACACTAGCCTAGAATAACTGAAATAATTAATCAAATAGCTACACATAATGTTGGAAATAGAGCACAAGAAAATGGGTGTTCAAAATATAAGTTGAGAGGATATATTGTGACGAACTCTAGTAAACCGTGTGTGGAATGAGAATTCCTTGCAGAAGATACTAGAAAGGAGAAACTGTTATGATTGTGGGAAATGTAGCGATTAAAGCAGAGACTGCAAAAAATCAACAGCTGTTATTAACCAATTTGTGCACTGCGTCAGTTTATTGGACTGACCCTGAATTGGAGAAGGAATGTTGTCTATAATTACAAATACGTGTATCTACATGAAATATGGCAAGATTTGATCAAAGTGTACAAGTCTGTTGTATAAAAATATCTTATATCCTACAAAAGTATTTCTACCAAGATATGTCTGTGAATTAATGACGTCAGTACGACTTGGACAAGTCGGAGTGTAATGTGATGTTATTATGAAGAATAAAATTACCTTCGTCCATTGTACACATTTGAACATTACATTTGCAAAATATATAGAGCCTCTGAAATGATAACAGTGACATCAAATACATAACATCCAGCCATGCACATAGTGTTATGCTAAGAAGACAGAGCCCAACCACATCAAAGTAACAACGAAATGTTAAGCATACATCAAGAAAACAGGAATTACTTAAATTTACGGAGCAAAATTCACCTGGGAATATTCCATCTGCCCCAAATGAAATTTAAAGATCATTATTTGAGTTAAAAACTGCCCAAGTCCATGGATTTACGGATAGAAATCCTTGCAGTGTGTTGATCAACACTGGTTCTATAGCAGCAATGGTTCGACCATATATGTTAATGAATGGTGAAATTTTCCCTCAGAGAAGAAAAAAGAATAGGGGGTGATGCAAACAGTAAATGAACATAGTGTTCCAGCAAAGTAAAATTTAGAAGTTACCCTTACTTTAGGTAATTTCTATGTGCTTCATGTTGTGTGGTTATTTGACGCTGAAGAAAACTGCATATTGAGAATTGACTTCATGTGTAAATATGGATGCAAGGTTAGGCTAGTTTAGAATAGTTTCACATTCTATGGCC